TGCATTTTGTCACCCAATTTCATCTCAGCAACGAAGAAAGCTGGGATGCTGAAATTTCGGGTATATTTTCCTATCCCGTGTGTCACCCTCCCGTTTGAAGATCTTCCCCCACACGCGCCTAAACTCCGCGTACGGAGTTCCCAAAAAAATATGCAAATTCCTTTGGCGGGAAGCGGCTTCGTGAACCAGGAAAGATACGAAGCTCAAACTTTGCAGGAATATTCTCTGTGCAAACTGTGAGCTAAAGATTTTAAATTCAGCTGTCGCGCACGCTTGTGAAGCGCCTACGAAGTTTGCAACTTGGTACTGTTCTAACTCAAAAATTTGCCGAAAAACAATGAATGAAATTTTGTTATCATGTTTTTCGCTCATATGGGAAATCGTATATTTAAAATGAGTATCGACTTGCACTTGCGCCACGAGTTAGAGCACTTCAAAGATATTTGTGGCGAAGTGGGTATGTCGCTTACTGGATAAGCTGCGAGGCTGAAAATTCGCTGAAATATTCTGCTTTCATGCACGGTCTTAATTCTGCTTGGAGGCGAAATTCCCTGCAGGTGGACGTGAGAAATACTCAACTTTACCGAAAAATCAGAAACGAGTGTATTTTGCAGCGAACGACAGCCTCATCCAAATGTGTGAATGAACATTCAGTTCATTTGCATACTTGGATTTTTTTACAAACGACTTCTCGAGCAATACTACCGATAGCCTTACCAGCTGACGTTGGAATTTCGTGCTGTCGCTCAGGCTTGTTCCGAATGCCTTAGTCTCCCACAGAAAGTTATTTGTAAAACAATCTTGCTTTTATTTCTTTTTCGCTGTCATCTATCAGACCTCAAAATTTGTAGACAGTACCACGCCTTTAATCTTCAACTTTTTAAAAAATTTTGATGGAAAACACGCCAGGTGTTTCACTGACTAGAACATCGAATTTTTGTCTCTCATAATTTTTCATTTACACAAGTAGGAACAAAAGTGGCAAACAGTTGTGGGGATACAACAGCTTTTTCATCTGCTAAATTTAGGATTCAGTCAAAGTTTAGCTCAGGGAAAAGGATAACGAGGGAGGTGGAGGAGAGAGGGAAGCCTGGACCGAATTATGTATCCATCCATCATTCGTCAATGCTGCAGGTTTTACGAAGGATGAGGAATTATTCGGATGAAATAGTGAAGCACATTGAAGGTTGCTGGAAATCCGAAGTCGATGAACGGACGGAGTGGAATTTTGTCACTTCAACTTTATACGGATTTGGCATTGTCACAACACTTGGTATTATCCATTTACATTTTATGCTCTTCAACAGAGTGCAAATATTTTTAAGATTCTGCTAAGATTTACAGACGGGATTGCTTATTTTTTGCGTTTCCTTAAAATCGAGAAAATATAGAATGTAGTGACACCGAAGAATATTGACACTGATTAAACCATAATAACAAAAAATTTAGGTAGGAGAGCGAGTTGACAAAAATGCAACAAATTTAGCTAGGACCGCGAAATTTCTTTTAAAGAGCAAATTTTAATCACTTACACCAAAAATAAAGGAATACGGAAATCAGCTGAAGGATAAGGCGCGCACTACAGCACCTAAGCATACTAATCTCGGGCAGACGGTGGGGAAAAGGCAAGAGCTAAGCGGCGCCATTTTGGTTGGAAGATAACGATTTTGAAACGTAGAGTTAACGATTTTAACGGCTTAGAGTTAACGACTTAACGAC